GCAGCACAACCGCGCACAATAATGCAATCAAGCACACCATGCTCACGCAGGTGACCTCCCGCGGGAGGTCATGCTTCCTACGGGAAATCCATTGGTCAGAGCACGAGACTGGCGTCTGGGCCAGCGTGATCCCAGCCCGCTCCCTGGTGTCCAGCGCTGCCTTCGCCGGCCCGGGAGGGGGGGCTGGATGGTGGAGTGGACATCGTCATTTCTCGCGGCGTGGCCCTGCGCGCCTCTGGCACCCTCGTCCCAGGCTGCGCGGTATACCCCAGCGTCGACGTCGACGGCGCTCTAGTCCGCCTCGTCTGTGTCTACCTACCACCAGGTCGCAAGACCGAGACGATTCGCGACATGCAAAGGGCTAACTATTGAGCCGTAGGACGTTCTGCCGACCTACTGGGGCGGGAACGTCAACCTTCAGTGCTCTAACCCACGGGGGGGGTGAGATTGAGGATGCCGCTGCCTTGCAGGCCCTTCTGGGCAGTGCCGGCTCCAGAATCGTCGACGTCGACGGCCCCGCGCGGGCGGGCCGCGACTCCGAGTCCAGCGATGATTTCGTAGCCTGCCCCGCTACGGTGTTCGCCAGATACCAAAGGAAGAAAGCTTGGAAGCCCTCGCTTTCGGACCATGCGACCTTCTACTTGGCCCCCGACGGCGCGAGGCTGGCCAGACGGGAAGACGTTCTCGCGCCCGCAGCATTCAGGAGTCTCCCAACCAAGGCGCACGCGGACCTACGGAAATTATGTGCCTTTTTCTGAACGAACTTCTGAGGTCCCTGAGGTCGACCTAACTGGCTTGATCCAGCCCGTCGATTGGACGCGACCCGCTGCGGCGGGGCCCATGCCCGACCAGCGCAGCCACGTCGACCTCGGGGAAGTAATAACACAGGAGGAAGCTCCCAACCATGCAGGTGCACCCCACAAATCCGACGCCCCTCCCCCGATGCTCCGCGCTCTCGCCCAGCTGGGTAGACACGCTCTTTCCGCTGGACTGCAGTCCTGGTGGAAACGCTGGCTGCGCAAGACCAGAACGACCAGTCCTGGCTCTATTCTGGCCGATGCGGCCAAGAACCCTGGGCCCACTTGGCTTACTGGCCCCTGGGCGCGCGGCTCGCCGATGACGGATGGGGCGGGTCGGACCTGGACAGCAGGCGCGCGAATATGCGGCTTAAGCGTTGGGATCCTGAGATCGCACACAGACGCCTCAGCGCTCCCACCTCGCTGGAGCGTGGCCCTCGGGCTAGACGGCCCCGGGCTGGGCGCGAGATCTTCCGCAAAATGCACAATGTCAAGGGCGTGCGCGACCGCGGAGGAGTCTGGCATGAGCAGCCAGCAGACATGGGCCCTCGGGGCCAGAAGGGGCAACATCTGGCAGAGCTCGCCGCCCTTGCCGGACTTCGCGGACTTCGCAGGTCCATCGCTGTCGACGGACGACCCCAGCCCGACTGGGGCATGATCGCCTCTCTTGGCTTGGCTCCTGCCCGAAGCGCTCCGGGCATCGACGGAGAACCGTGCGAGGTCTACCGCGGCGGAGCTCGTTTCGTCGCTTGTCTCCTCGCCCAGGTCTGGCGCGCCGCCTATCTTGACTTGGCGCAGATCGCGCGCGCCCCGGGGCCATCGATCGACCTCCTCGTCTGGGCCGGTAAGAAAAAATGCGCTGCGCCCCCTAGCGACCTGCGACCTCTTCAGCTCCCAACTTGTACGCGGCGGCTCTACGGTGCTACCCTGGCTGACCTGCTGGGCCCTTAGATTGAGCCACTCTTGAGCAACGACCAGGCCGTGAAGAATGGCGGACAATGTGGCCCCAACATCCGGGCAGCCACCGCTTACCTGGGGAACGTCCCAGTGGACCCTGGGGAAGCAGGGCTGGCCTGGAACGTCCTGCTAGGACGAAGCCTCCCTTGCGCGGAGCAGCGCATTCGCAACGTCTCTGAAAGTATGCCCGCCGGCCCCACACAATCGGTTAGCTTTTGCGATTAGGTGTTGAGAACCCATCCTATTTCAGGAAACCTTGAAACCAATTAAACTAACTTCACAATATCTTCACGTAATTTTCAGCGAGCCGACAAAGTAACCCAAAGGGCAATCAAATATGAGGTTTCCAGTATCTCGGGGATTGTGCGGGGGGGGGAAGTAGGTCAGCCAATGCTGCTTCCCTTTGCTATGGTGGCAAACCTGATGGAGTCCTTCTTCCACGAAGCGATAACCAGCTTATTTCTTAGCGCGCGTCCTTGGTTTTAGATTTGGATGTGGGTTTCGGTTCACGTTTTAAGTTAAAACTTCCGTTTTAGTTTCAGGGTTAGGTTTTAGGTCTAGGTTTAGCGCGCGTTTGTTTTCAAGTGCCAGTTTGGGTTTAAGGTTAAGGCGCCGACAGTGGGGGGCGCGCGCAGTTGCGCGCGCTACTCGAGGGCCGCGCGATGGATCGCCAATGATTTGGCTCAGGGGTATTCGGGATCTTGAGCAGGCGCCACTCCAAGGGGGGAAAAAGGACGCAACAGGACAGCGCGGGAAGGGGGTGGGAGAGGAGGGAAAGGAGGACGAGTAAGAAAGAGGCAGGATGAGGAGGGGTGTCGCAGAAGCGGTGGTGACTCCCGCTACGGGGCCCGTGCATTCCTAGGCGCCGGCGTTTTTTGCTACGGGGCCAGCGCTTGCTATCACATACGGTTTCCCAGCATGGGGTCGCCGCCCAACTATCAGTGCCCCACTGGGCCTAGCCAGGACGCCATGGCTCCCAGTGCACCTTGCACCTCAGCCTCTGGGGGTAGTGCGCTGCGGCTATTCAGAGGTGGACCCTGCTGGGACCCTCCTAGGCTCCCCTTGTGGCCCCTGTCCTCACAGGACGGGGCTCCTGCCCCCACGGGAGCGACTGGGACCTCCCAGGGCCCACATGGCCTCGGCCGCATCTTACCCCCTAGCCTGGGTCGGCGCGGCCTCTTCGGTCCCTTCCCACCTGGGACTCCCTCCTGCGGCCCCTGTGCTGCCGCCGCGGTCCCACCCCTGTTCTCCGGGGCTCCTGCTGCTGCTCCTTGACGCCCTCCTTTGTCGGTCCGCGCTGGCTTACTCGCTTTCCCCGCTCTCTAGTCCCGGTTGGCTTATGCCACCTCTCACCGTCACCGTAGTTTCGTCTGCACATCGGCCCTCCCCACCTTCGAGGCCTGGATGGTTATGGCGGCTGGCGGCTGCGAGACCCGAAGCGGTCTCTGAGAGCTCGGCCAGGCGTAGACGCGCGCGCGATCCACTGCTTGCTCTCGACTTTCTACGCCTCGTCGCAGCCCGCGGGGCCGCGACGCCAAATAATCTGTGTGTATGTGTGTGCATGTGTGTGTGTGTGTGTGTGTGTGCGTGTGTGTCCGCCCGATTGGCGGGCTTTCGGCCGCCCTTGGCCACCCTCTCGCCTCCTTCCTCGGCTGGCTCCTTCCCGTTGTCGTGTCTTGCCTTCCCCTTATGTGTGTGGTGTCTCCTTCCGTCCCCTCAACCTCCCTTCCCCCGTCGGTCGGCCTGTCTCGCGTCCGTCCGTCTCCTCTCTCGTCTGTCCGCTGTTGCTCCTCGCTCCTCGCTTCTCCCTCTCTTTGCTTGGCCCCTCCTTTCCCTTGTCTTGCAGTCCCCTTGTCGGCCTAATTCGGGCCGGCTTGGCCGCTGCTTTCGCTGCCCCGGCGCCCCAGTGCCGCACCCGGCCTTGCCCCGTGAGGGGCCAGCCGTCTCGCCGTTCAGTTGCCTCTCTTCTGAGTGCTGGGCGCGCGCGCGGTCCTCCGCGCAGCGTGCCTGACGGTGTGGCGAGCCGCCCGTCCGCGACGAAAAAACGTGTGTGTGAGAGTGTGTACTTGTGGGTCTTGCTGAACGTTGCCCCGTTTTGCTCCCCTTGCCAGCGCAGTCACTGCCTAGCCGCCGACCTAAGTGAATGTGTGTGTGTGTGTGTGTTTGCTGTTTTTGTAAATGCCTTTCTGCGCAACCCAGACCGGCAAAGCAAATCCAAGAGAGTCCAAGCAACGCCAAGCAATGCAGTGCAATGCCAAGCAACGCCAAGCAATGCAGTGCAATGCCAATCAAGTGATGCGCCCAAGCGGCGGGCAATTTACCCTCGGCGTACCTTCTGATAACTCTTCTTCGCCTAGTTATTCACTCTGGATACTCTTCCCTATGTTGGGGTTGCGCCGGGTTCATTGTGCTCTCTCTATCTCTCGTGATGTCGTGAGCCCATCTTGTGAGGCCCAGGGCTCCCGTGCACTCCCCTCCCCCCCTCCAATCGCGAAGCTCCCGCCCCGCCTCCAGGGGATAGGCCCGGGGAGTGGCAGACCTCTTCCGCGCTGGTCCCTGAAGGGTCGGCGAGTGCTGGGAGGTTGTTGCAAGTCCTTGCCAGGTGGAGGTTGGGGTGGGCATCGAGGGGTGGTCAGGGTGCTCAGACTTGAAGCGAACACTTGGATTTTTGACACAACGTACCATGATCCTTTCTGCGCCATTTGTTCTGCCTTTGTTATTCGTCTCCTTTCCCTGTCCCTCTTCTTCCTCTTCTTCTTCCCCTCCCTTCCATTCTTCCCCTGTCCTTCTTTCCAGAAGCCCCTCCTCCTTCCCTGCCTCCGCTCTCCTCTTCATCCTGTATCCTCTTGGAAGTATGGGGAGTTGGAGGACGCTGAAGGACAGTCGTCTTTGTCCTCGTCGTGGTCGTGGTGGTGGTGGACGTTACCGTCGTTTTCGCCCAAGCCAGATCTGCTCAACATCGATCCTTTCCCAGGGTGCATCCTGGTCAGTCTTTCGACGTACATCCAGCCGTGGCGACGAGAACCTCCAGACACCCTAAAGCCACCGAAACGACGATGTCGTCAACGTCGTGGTGGTCGCCGTTGTTGTCGGCGTCGTCGTCGCCGTCGTCAAGGTGGCTGGCAGGCGCGTGCGTGGGATCCTCCAGGCTTCCCATCATGGAGGCCTCCAATCACTCGGGGTGGCTGGCATGGGCATGGGTTCTGGGGTTTTGCTCTTGCCGACGCAAGCTTGCCCTAACCTGAGGTACCTGTACGGCGACGACTGGCCAGGGCCCCTGCCGGCAGCGGAGGCTCAGGCGCCGCCCTCCCCCCCTGGGCGGGGAGGGGGTGAGGAGGTGGAGGAGAGAGGCGGGGGGGGGGGGGCGTCCTTTCTTCAGGGGCTGTGCACTCGGGAAAGGGGCTTCTGCGGGGTGGCGGGACTCGGTTCGTTTTCCTCGTGCGTTTTGCTGGATTCGTCTCGAGCGCAGGCGCCCTGTTCTAAGGGTCGGGGTCTAGCCTTTCCCGCGCTGCCGCTGGCTTCCCGTCGATGCCCTTGGTCGACGGGCTTGTCTCTTGTCAGCTGTCCTGGCTGTTCCATTCTCTGTTGAAGCTACTCGTCGACGCACCTGGTCGGCGCTCATTTATCCTATCAGCTGTTCGGCTGTTTCCCTGCCTACCTCCTGATACGCGCTGTGAGGTAACCGGTCAGCGGGCCCAGCTGCACCTTGTCCTCACCTCTCACCCCGAGATCCTATTGGGCGTGTCCGTGGCACCTTCTCGGCAGCTCGTGCCGTGCCATTCGTGTCCTGGCACTTCGCCGCTCCGTATGCAAAACCATCCATCTATCCGAGACGGCTGGTCAGCGGTCCTGGCTGTATCACTTCTCACCCCATCCAATATTTCTTCGTGCGGGTCCGTTGCAACCGGTCTGGTCCCGGGTACCCCACTCGCGCCCTTGACTTCCCCCTCCTGCGAGTTCTGCGTCCTCTCCTTAGTTCTGCATCCACACCCGTCGCTCCCCCCTTTCCGCCCGGAGCTTCAGTCAGGGGTGCGGCAGGTGCTTATACGCGCAGCATGCGCTCCCCTCTCCCTTACACCCACCTATGAGGAGGAGGCGGAAGTTTGAGGAGGAGGCCCTTCCCACGCTAGCCGTAAAAGAGGCTGGCTGTGCTTGAAAACCAAGGAAGGCGGTGCTCCGCGGACGAAGCTGGCGCGTGAGCTCTTGAGCCCGTCCCCGTTGGCGCGATGTCTCCCGGCTCTCGACCGCTGGCGGGTGTGGACTGATGACTGGTGCTGGCGCTTGTCGATGCTCTCGGCGCATTCCCCGCTAGAACGGGGACGGTTCTGGGCTTCCTGAGATTTCGGCCCCGTCCCAAGAGCGGAGGAGCCTTCCAACACCTCTCTTTTCCCTCTTCCCTCCGTAACCCCTTTTTCCTTCATACGCTATAGCCTTCCCTTCGACCCACTCCCATAGGCCTCCCAGGCATGCTTTCCCGCAGATCTGGTTCAAATAACACATTGCCGACGATGGACGCTCTCCTAGCTGAGGTTTAAGATTGAAATTCCATTCTCCAGGAATGGGAGGGCGTCCCTGGCCTTCACCTGCGCTTTGATTTCCTGTCCGCCAATGGCGCGGTCCCCGCCATGCTGCATTCTTGGCTGCGCGGGCACTCTCTCGGGGCGTCGCCTGTCGCCCCGAAGCAGGTGCGCAACCTCTCGTCCATCGCGTCCCAGCTCGCCTGGGCCGAACGCCAATGGGACCGCCTTGCTGACACCGGGAAGGTTTCCTTCTTTCCGGCTGACGCCCTTCCGCCCAGCACCTCAACGTCAACCCGTGCGGCATAATCATGAAACCGCGCCCCGGGGCGGACGCCGAGGCCGACGAACCGGGGCGTTTCGAAGCGCGTTCAATCATCGATTTGCGGCGGGGGGGGGTCAACGAATGCATGCCGAAGGCCGGCGTCGCGCACGGCGCGCTGGACCAGGCCGTGGCCCGCATGGCCGCGGGCTCCTGGCTGTTCGTCCTCGACCTGCGCGATTGCTTTTTAATTGGCGCGTGTCCGACGCAGACTTGTACGCCCTAGGTTTCCATTCCCCTGGCAGACGCCAGCTCGGGAAATACAAGTACTGACCATTCGGTATCAATCCTGCGCCTGGTATCAACGATATCAATGTGAATGAGATGATAAGAATCCTCCGCCTGCGTGCCGAAGTAGACTTCGAGGGCTTCATTGGCGATTTTTGGGCGCGGCACTGGGCGATGGAACGGCTTGGCAGAAGCTGCGTCGAGCTTGTCGCTTTCTGTTGCGGCGTGGTATTTCCGCAAGTGCCACACCCGGCGGCGCCCGAGCGCCAGCTCGCCGACGAACTTGGATTGGCTGGGCGCGCGACATTGTCGAATGCATCATCACCGCGCCGCCTGAAAAGACGGACCGCTGTCGCGAGTTGTGCGCTGCCGTTCCCGAGGCGGACCAACGCCGCGCGCTCCGCAGCAAACAACTGGCGTCGGCAGCAGGTTTAGCCTCGCGCATCGCGGAGTTCCTTCCGCAGCTGCGTCGCCGTCTACGCCCTCTGTGGGTTGATTTTAACGCGTCGGGGGTGCATTCGGCGTAGCGTGCCAGCCCCCTGGCGGGCCCCCCAGTGACCCTCTCAGATCTCAGTCGCGCGGCCCTAGCGCGCATCTGCTCGGCCCTGGGTGCGCCCCCAGTGCGTTCCTCGCGCTGCGGCGGCGGTTCTCTCAGCATGTGGGAACATACCGCATAGACCACCCTTCGGGTGAAAGGAGGGGGGGGGGGAGGGACCAACGTCGCACTCGATTGATCTCACTATCGAACTCACTACCGATCTCACAATCGATCTCAATCGATAGATCTCACAGTCGATCTGACTATCGACCTCACAATAAATCTCACAATCGATCCCACAATCGATCTCACATTCGGTCTCGCTATTGATCTCACAATCGATATCACAATCGATCTCGCATTCGATCTGACTATCGATTTCACTATCAAACCCACTATCGATCTCATTATCGATCTCACATTCGGTCCCACAGTCGATCTCACTATCGATATCACAATCGATCTCACAATCGATCCCGCATTCGGCCTCAGTATCGATCTCTCTATCGAACTCACTTTCGATCTCATTATCGATCTCACTATCGATCCCACTATCGATATCACAACCGAACTCACAATCGATCTCACATCCGGTTTCATCATCGATCACACTATCGAAATCACTACCGATCTCATTACCGATAGTGATATCACTACTAACTCAATCGATCGATCTCGCAATCGATATGATAATCGATCTCACAATATATTCCACAATCGATCTCACATTCGGTCTCATTATCGATTTCATTATCGATATCCCAATCGATCTCACAATCGATATCCCATTCGGTCTCACAACCGATCTCCCGATCGATCTCACTATCGATCTCACATTCGGTATCACAATCGATCTCGCAATCGATCTCACAAGCGATCTGACATTCGATCTCACAATCGATAGCACAATCGATATCACTACCGATCTCACTATCGATCATCAAAACAAAACATCAACATCGTCATCATCATCACCATCATCATCATCATCATCATCAATATCATCACCATAATCGGGACACCGACGGGGCACCGGCGGGACACCGCGGACCCCCGGCCGCCCGGAAGGCAGTCATTTGGTCCGGCCGCGCCTCAGCCACACGGGACACCAGCGGGACCGGCGGGACACCGCGGGCCCCCGGCCGCCCGGAAGGGAGACATTTGGTCCGGCCGCGCCTCAACCACAGGAGACTTTCTCTCGCCCGCCCACGCAGCATCGCCTCGCCCGCACGGCACGCACGAACACGAAACCGAAATCGATTTCCCGGTAGGGGGGCTTTCCGTTCCACTTCGATCTCACCCCCTCGCTTCCGAACTCCCCCGAGTTCGCTGACTGGGCGATTCTTGTTCGCTAAGGCGCAATCCGGGTCGTGGAGCGTGACGCGTCCAGAATAGAGGGGCGGTCATATCATCTGTGTTGGGGCAGCCGCATTGTCGCCGATACGTGGCCTGAGAGGCTTACCCCGGCGGAGCAACCGGACCGAGGCCGCGGAGCAACTGAAACCAAGCGGCGGAGCAACTGAAACCAAGCGGAGGAGCGGCGGAGCAACTGAACCCAAGCGGCGAAAGGCGAGGAGGAGGGGGAGGAGGCGGAGGAGTGGAAGGGAGAGGAGGAGGAGGAGGAGGCGGAGGAGGAGGAGGAGGAGGCGGAGGAGGAGGAGGAGGAGGAGGAGGAGGAGGAGGAGGAGGAGGAGGAGGAGGAGGAGGGGGAGAAGGAGGAGGAGGAACCCCACTTGGAGCCCTCTCGGGCTTTCTTGGACCCATGTTAGGGCCCAAGACAACCTCAACAGGGCCCCAAGACGCTCCCAAGAAGGCCCCAAGACCAATGCTGTGGGTCTCTAGTCAAAAAGGTTTTTGACTAGAGACCACGTGAGCCATCTAAGTGCTTCCCGGGCCCCTCTTGGGGCCCCTCCCGGAGCCTTTTCGGACCCCTTGTAAGGCCCCAGGCAGCCCCAAGAGTGCCCCAAGACGGCTCCAAGAGGGCTCCAAGAGGGCCCCAAAACGAACTCTGTGGGTCTCTAGTAAATTATCCCGGCAAAGCAACCTAACAGCGATGTGTAGGAGCATATCTGGAAGTATTCCCCTTAAGATTCAGATGAGAGTCCAGTTGTAGAATTCTGCTGTTCTCGCAGTCGTAGTCGCAGTCGCGATGACACTCGCAGCGGCAACGGCAGTCGCAGTCACAGCCTCAGCCTCCTCAGCCTCAGCCTCAGCCTGCCTCAGCCTCAGCCTCAGCTTCAGCCTCAGCCTCAGCCTGCTTCAGCCTCAGCCTCAGTCTGCCTTCAGCCTCGGCCTCAGCCTCAGGCTGCCTCACCCTCAGCCTGCATCAGCCTCAGCTTCAGCCTCAGCCTGCCTCAGCATCAACCTGCCTCAGCCTCAGCCTCAGCCTGCCTCAGCCTCAGCCTCAGCCTGCTTCAGCCTCAGCCTCAGTCTGCCTTCAGCCTCGGCCTCAGCCTCAGCCTGCCTCACCCTCAGCCTGCCTCAGGGAATGGAGTTCTGGGAAATCGAAGAGCACGAAGTGGCATACAGTTGCCTCCGAGCATCAAAAATGTGCCCCGGGAATGGAGTTCTGGGAAGTCGAAGAACACGAAGTGGCCTACAGTTGGCTCCGGGCATTCAAAATGTGGCCCGGGAGTGGAGTTTTGGAAAGTCGAAGAGCACGAAGTGGCCTACAGTTGGCTCCGGGCATTCAG